CTCTCTGCCCGTACACACACACGCACACACACACACACACACACACACACGTACACAAGTATACACCTTATTGGTTCTATTTCTCTGAAAATCCCTGACTTACGTACTGATGGAGCAGATAGGTTTCTGGGTACAGGTTAGACTTTGAGTCAGGGTGTAATTTGAGAGGGTTCTATATCCTTTATTTCCTAGGTGTTTCTTCCTCTCCTCTTTCCAGTCTTTGAAGCTAAGTTTAGGCCAATACCCATATTAGATGAACAATTCCTCGAGGACAATGTCTGCTGATGCAAGCCATGAATAGTCAAGGTTGGGAAATAAGAGTTGGCAGGAAGGACTGTAATTCACTGAACCCAACCCTAGAACCTCAGCGTTCAGGGTTCTTAGTTCTGAGCAATTCTCCCTCCTGGAGTTTATCCAGGTTTACCTTTAGACAGTCGCAAGCTACCTGCCCCTCATTCATCCTCAATTGAATCAGCGGTCATTGATGACAGAATGAGACCGAGGTTGGAGGTGCTAGAATAATTCCCAGAGTAGTGACGGAGACCCCGAGGTTTTCAAAAAATAAAAAGCATGATGTGAAGAATGAAGCTAAAGGACACAGACCGCACTTATCAGCCAGGGGTTGTGTTAAATCGGAGTCACCAGGAGAAAGTATTTGTAGTCTGGTCATCACAGCTGGCTCCAGAGCACCCTCAGGTGAGGACTAAGCTTGGAACTTGGGAGAGAGCTCACCTTCACAGATCCTGTAGGTGTGGGATGCAGCCCGAGGACTGGTCTGCAGAGAGGCTGTGGGGGAATGACAAGAGGTAACAGGGCCTTTCGGGGCAGGGAGGAGCAGGTGGAAGAGAGAAGACCAGGGCATGAAGGCAGGAGAGGGACACCTGCCCGGAAGCTGGAGACTGTAGGCAGGTGGCTGATGAGAGATTCTGGGACTTTTGAGAATGGAAGTATCTAACATTAAATTCTAAATCATTTGAAATGCTCTCATGCAATCCCTTTTCTGAAAGCTTTGGTCAAATTTGCTGTCCACATAGCTTGGCAGGAGGAATTTAGGGAGTGATGGGTTGCTGTGCTTATTGGAGGGTGATATGGCGCATAAAGGAGATAAAAAAAAACTCTCCAGAATAAAGGAATGATTTGTGAAAGGAACCAATTCAGTGGAAGCTGGAGCCAAGGTGGTAGCTGAACTTGAGTCTCCCCAAGAATCTTGGGGGCAGTGCCATGGTGCCCTCTATTCAAGGTGTGTGAGGGAAAAATCTCCCTTGGGTCTCTGAGGTCAAGGTGATGCCACTTTGTCACAAATCGAGGCTTCAGGAAGACATCAAGTCTCAAACCCAGAATTATTGTGGAGACCAGACTAAACGGAACAGCCCCGAGGGAAGCTTGGAAGCAGCAGCAGGCCGGTTCATTCATTCACCAACCCTGGCACACCACTTGATGTGCCAAACCCGTCAATGGTTGCTAACAATGCAGACACTGTCCCTCGAGGAGCTCCAGCCTCTGAGGTGTGAAGGCAAGGGGAGCTGACATGTGTCGCGCCCCCTCTGCGTGCAGTGGGCTGCGTATTTCACAGGCATCGTCTTTCTAAAATTCTCCAACAGCTTTCTGAGTCAGTAATATTATCCCCAACATACAGACAGGTAAGCTGAGGCCCAGACAGGTGAGGGAACTGGACTCAAACCTGACTCAGCTGATTCATAATGAAGCCCGTGTTTAGATATACGATTACGTGACTCCAGGGTTGGAGGGGGGGGGGCCCTTATTTTGGTCAGAGGCACTGAAAATTGGTAGTAAGGGGTTCAGCCTTGACAGTGTGATTTGAAAAGCATTCCCCATGTTTCTCCCGAGTCCTAGTTACTCTGCTGCGATGCCTATCAGCCTATCCGCTCTCAGTGCTTGGGTTAACCATTGTTTTCCTCGTCAAATCCACTGTTAGAAGCTTAAAACACCAACTTAATGGCCACCCCATCAGGGACGAGTTTGCTATCTGAGGTTCTGGTGCCCACTGGGGGGACAGCAGTGAAGGGCTCAGAGGGGACATTGGGATCCCAGGATGATGCTACAGAAACATGGAGGGAGATGTTCTTTGCAGGTACATAGGCTCTGTTTCTGCTGCACGTCAGACTCATCCACCATAATTAGCAAAGGGCAGTTACATGAGCCTTTTTAATGAGTCCTGTGCCCAGGCTACAAGGAGAAAAGGAGAAATCCATCATGCTGTCCCATAAGCATAAATATTGCACAACTAATTAAGTAAAGGTGAAATCCTCTGCACCATCCATATGATATTTATTTAAAATGATTTGCTCAAGACAGGTCCAGAACCCTTCTCCACAGGGAGACAGATAGGAGCTGGGCAGAGATGATCTGGGCACTTGAGGAGCAAAAATGAATTGGACTGGCATCTGAGAAGCCACCTGAGCCTGGAGTTGGCTGTGGCAAGTAGATAGACATCTGTTGTTTTTGTCTGTTCAGCACCATCCTCTCCCTTTGGGGAAATGTTCCTCCTCCACTCTGATCACGTGATTGGGATGGGGCTGCCAATCACAATTTCTTACCCAACCCCCTGGCCGCAGGGGTGGGCATATGATCCAGACTTAGCCAATTACAGTACCTTATTTGCCTGGTCCCAGTGATGGCTCCAAGCATGTGACCCAAGCCCGCTGGTTAGAACGATCCCCTTCGGCAATGAGGACAAAGGACATTGATGTTTCTGTTATGATGTTTGAAGGACAAGAAGCAGAGACTTGTGCAGCCTTCTTTCTCTATCCCATGGCATCCCCTGTCTGCCCGGGAAAACAGAATCAACCTGGGACCAGCAGGAACGGAGAAACAAGGAGCAATGAGTAGGAGACTCTATCTAGTTCCAGTTCTTGAGTCTCCTGGGGCTGCCCCCCTTCTTGAACTGCATTTTAATCCTGTTGTCTCTGCAGTTTCATGATCCAGTGGATTCCCCTCTTGATCACACTTCTCTGAGTTGGGTTACTATTACTTGCAAGTCAAGGAACCCCGATGAACAGATATGAACATCAAAAATCGTATTTTAAGAACATTTTCTTCTAAGAATCTGGCACCTTACATGATCCGTATCAGGTGCTGGGTTGGAACTTGAACTGTGCACCTACAGGTCTGAACCTGAAGGGACCTCAGTGGTCAGTGAGCCCCTTTTCCCATTTGGCGCTTGAGGAATCTGAGCTCCATCATAGGAAAGAGGGTTGATGGGATCACATAGAAAATCAGTGGCAGAACCAGGGCTGGAGAGGATCTCGGTCTCTTGATTCTTAGGCTAGTACTTCCCCTCAGGGTTGGGGCGACATGCAGTTTCCTGGCAGGGCAAACAGACCAACTAAATATGAATGCACAAGGTCAAGAGGATCCCCAGCTTGACCTCAGGCCGGCCATACCTTCTTTTCACCCCAACTCTAAGCTTCTGCCCTTCTGACTTTCTAAGACAAGGTAAGAAGTGAGTTATTCTTGGTTAGGTCTCACTCTTAGAGACCTGACCTGGAACTCAAGCTTCAGCATTCTGACAGCAAGGCCTGAAGTCAATCCTACCTAAGGCCTAGCTGCTTCCACCAGAGGGATGGGTTGCAAATCATGGTCATCTACACATCCCCCAGCCCCCAAAGGGGTTGACTTGGGGGGGGGGGGGCACAGCTAAGAGAGAATTTTTACTCCCATTTGAACTAGAGAGCCCTCCCAGCCCCCAGTTTCAAAGTCTCTCTTAAATATTAGAGTTTAATGTACAATTTTATTTGAAAACAGGTTCCCACTTGAAAAAAAAGAGAAAACCTTAAAAACCATTAATCTGATAAACTTAAGCCAACCACTTCTACTCCCTGAACAAAAGGTGACATGTGACAGGTCACACAAACCGGCAGGAAAAAAATTCTAACCGCCTCTTTCATGAAAAGGGCCCAGAAACATCATTACTGAAGGGAAACATCACTATTTATTATAACCCGTGTTTTGCCAAATATTTCTGATCAACTGTCATCTGTAAAGACAGCATCTTGGACAAATAACCCCATGCCCACATGTTAATTAAGAAATATGCCCTCATTCACTTGTTTATTCACTAAATAAATACTCTTTGGGAGCCCATACCCTGGGCTCACTGTGTTAAATGCTGAGAATACCATACCGAACAAGATGTATGATCCTTCCTCCCACAGAAATTTTGGAAATGAATCCTTCCTTTGAAGCAATATATACATATTTAAGGACACATCTTTGAGCAGAGGAGGGTGGCATGATTGGCTCTAAGATCAGACTAGAAAGAAGACTTTGGCAAATGAATCTGGGGTTCACCCATCTTTCCAAAGATAGTCACCTTCTCTACCCTATTTTGTTCTAGCTGTAAATTCCCAACTGGGTCTCATTGCTACTCTTTGCCTTTAAGGATCTGGAGGTTAATTAAAGGCATCTCTGCAACCCGGCTACCTGGGCACTCACCATCCTTGGTCACAGCCTTTAGGAGCCACATATAAATGTCATGAGGCCCATCTAAGAATGCAGAACCAGTCCTCCCAATGATTTGCAAGGTCTCTTTGGGGGACAGGAAACCTTGGTTCTCGTTCTGACTGTGATGCTAGTATTTCAGTAGCCTCACCCATTTGAGTTTCTGAATCTTTCCCTATGGAAGTAGGGGACTGAAATTTGGACTTTCCCAGAGGAACATCTGGGTTTCCATTTCTGGATGAATTAGTTAATGTAAGGCTAGCTGCTGTAACAGGTAAATTCTCAGTTGCATTCACAGCACATGCTTATTTCTTTCCATGTCGTGGTCGAGAGGAGTGACTGGCCAGATGGCCTTCCATGGAGCCTGCTCCTCCCATGTGTGGCTCTCCCTCTTTTAAGTTGGGGTTCCAAGGAGAACAGTAGAATAGATCAACTAGTGAATGCCCCAACTTAAGAGAATTCAAAATATTTGAGCTGATAAATAGGAAAAGGACAAGAGGTCTCTCGTGGAAAGGTGTTTCTTTTTTTTTTTTTTTTGTGAGGGGTGTACTATCCCCAGAAGTACTGCTGTACTGGGTCCATGTGTGGACTGGATGGAGCAAGCTCCTATTCCACTTCCCTGCTTTAAAAATCCGTTGAATATATTGTCCTCAGATAGAGGATGTATGAGATATTAAACTGGTGAGAATAGATACTACACTTGATCTTAGTCAAAAGGCCGGGAAGTGATTCTCCTGGGACATTTTATGGGCCAGATCTAGAAGTGCATTCATCTTTTCCACCCACATTCCATTGGCTAAAGTTGGTCACATGACCACACCTAAGCACAAGGAAGTCTGGGAAATGTAGTCCAGCTGTGTGGGGAAGAGGAAAAGGAAACAGATTTTTTACAGAATGAGCCAGTTGGGTATAGAAACTTGTTTGCCACTTTAGATGGCAGTCCCACCTAGCAAACTTCTACTTAACAAAGGTTTTAAAACCATGCATTTCTGTCTCAACCAGGGGAATCATTTACGGGAGTTGAGAGATGACAGAGAGCAGGCTTGATTAGGGAGTGCATCCATACATCTAGGTTTTCCCAAGAGAGGCCCCGTGTATGCCTGTGGTCTCAGCATTCCTTCCAGCTGGTGCCCCCTTCTTTCTCAAAACTATCCCAGTGTAGGTGACAATTATAAAGCCACCCTAGGTCTAGGGGGTGGACAGCCCAGAGGAGGGAGGAGAACACAAGAGTGTGCAAAGATACTCAAAATTGCTAAAAAAAAAGAAGCCACACAGCTTCCGTTCCATAAAGACAGTATTTTTTATTTTTTAATTTTAAAATTCTGCATCTGAAAACACAGTATGACAGAAAGCATCTATATACACCTGCAGTGTTTTTGGTATGGTACAGTATTTATTACATCCACTGTTTTCTGCAAAAAAATTTGCTTTGTCAGACAGAAACGAACTCCCCTAGACAAAAAAATACAGCTAAGGCACAATTTTGTTGTTGTTTTTCTGCTAAATGAAAAGACAGAAAAGGTGCAAAAATGGGCGGGAAGTGCAATCATTTCCGAGAATCACATTCTACCTCGAGGGAAAAAGCATTCGGGTGATTGGAACTTTGATTACTGGTCAATTTCAGATAGTTCAATATCTCTTAAAATACTCCTTTAAATAAATAGCAAAATATCTACATCTTTCAGTGTGTGCCGTTTGAATTCTCTCTTTTTTAAAACTTTATTTACAGATTCTCTCTTTTTAAAAAAATCAATACATTACAAAATATTTCTGTACAGTTTTATGCATATTATGATCTGTAACAAAATAGTTATTTTTAAAAACTATATCACCACATGTCTTCGGAAAAAAAAAAATGAAGGGGATGGTAAATAACTTATTGTGAGGCCTCGAAGAAATGTACCCAAATGCTACTGACAACATAATAATATTAAGAATTTAAAAAAAACCAAAAAACAAAAAGACGACAAAGACGGTTGCGCTCAATTCCAGTGAATTTCCTATGAAAACCCTGGGTTGTCTTTGGCCTCCATCAGCCCTGGAGCGATGGAAGGGAACAGGAGGGGCTCTGAAAGTGGGGAGCGTGTGGTCCCTCGGAGAACACGACCCATCCGCGGGGAACAGTTAATGCTATCACGTTCCAGGCAGGAAGGACGAAGAGATACATTGAGAAACGCTCCTGATTTACCCTTGGCTGAAGCACGGAAGTCGGAGTCTGGAAGGGGAGGGGTGAAGAGGGAGTGAGCTCCAGGCCCTGAGGCCAGCCCCTTAGGCGGCATCCTGCTTGGGGGGTGCGGCAGGAGCTGGCTGAGGTTCGGATGAGCACCCAGGCCTTCATTTCCCCCACGGGAAACATTTAAGAATCTTTGTCCTGAAGACATCAGCAATCTCTCAGCAAAGGGACACCGCCCCCTGCTTAGGTGGTGTCCACGGAAGCTTCTAGGGGCTCTTCCTTCTCAGATGTTGGTGCAAATGGAAGGGAAAGGGCGGTCAGCTTTCCAAAAATAATTTTAAGGCCACATTTCAAAAAGGAGAACCTAAGGCTTTTTTGGGGGGTGAGGAGAGGGTAAGCAAGTCGGAGGACAGTGAGGAATGGAGACGATGAATCAGCAATGGAGGTGACAAGGGGCAGAGGCAGAGAACCCCCAGCCAGGGGAAGGAAAGGGGGGCCATGCGCTCTCTGGGTGGGCCTGGCAAGGACAGATCCAAAGACAATGTGAGGGGTGCACATAGGTGGCGCAAGAAGGCCCTCCTCAGTCTTAAGAGGGGTCCATACAGTATCTTGTTTGCAAGGTAAAAAAATAATAACAGAGAGAGAGAGAGAGACAGAGAGAGACAGAGAGATTTGCATAGATTGTACATTCAGCTCAAGCAGACTGGGCCACCTCTATTCCCCCCCAAGGTAAACTTCTCAGCAGACACAGTGAGGTAGCGCCTGTGGTAGACCCATGGGCAAAGTAAGGTAGAAGCTGGGAGGACAGCCTGTGAGTCAGCACAGCTCCAGCATGGCTTCCAAAGAAGCATTCGGACACGCGGTGAGCTGGCTGCTAAACCTTGGGGTCGGGAGTGAGCTGGGCTGTTTCACACGCCGCCCCCCTCTTCCTGGACTGCGTCCTTGACCTCTCCACCTGGACCGTGACCTTGACCTCTGCACCTGGACCGTGTCCTTGACCTCTGCACCTGGATGTGATGGAATTCTGGAAGAGGTGGACCTGGGCAGTGTGGACCTCCTTAGGCATCAGGGGCAACACGGGGGGGTCTCCAAATTCTGTTCCTTCCCTTCAGCACAAACTGCGTTGGGACCAGGGGAGCTGAACAAGCCAGTTCTCCCGGGACACTGCCTCTGGGGGACCGTCTCTTTGGGATGGGAATGACTAGGAAGAGATTCCTGTTCCCGTCTGAGTCTAACCTGTGCTCCTGGTTTTGCCCTTCCTTAATGCTGGCTTTCCCTCCTCCCTGGGTCAACGCCCAACCTCCTTTTAAACCACCTCTGCAGAGTGCGGCTGCCACCAGTGCCCGGGCTGAACGGTGGCATTTCTCCGTGCCCATCCTCCATTAAAAACAAAGCTGCCGACATTTAAAAACCAGACTTCCTGTTACAATCTGGATTTCTGGCTTCCCTCACCAGACTGGAAGACCCTCGCAGGCTCCGCCGGGCTGGACTCAGGAGCAGCTGCTCTTTTTGGACAGGTCATGCGTGCGCCTGCAGACCCCATCCCCACCACGTGCTACTGTGTCACACCAACTGCCTCACTTGTCTCTGTGTCCCAGACCCCAAAGGCATTTGTGACCTTGACCATCGAGTGCCGCTTTGCCCTGGCAGGCCTTTGCCAACAGCTCTTTCTAGTGCATCCCCCTTGGGTGCTGCTGGGGAGCCTGTGTCCCGTTTCCCAGTGAACTTGGCTGTGAAAGGGGTCTCTGCTCACACCCCACACCCAGACCTACTGCTCTCCTCTATTCTGCTCCTTCTTGGCAGAGAAATCAAGATTCCAGCCAGCGACCTCCGTGCACCTGGAAACCAGACACCAGAAAGACGCACAGACCACACACAGGCATGTGCCAGAGTAGCTGCAATCTGCACCCAACAACGGAAAATGAAGTCGGAATGACTCCCGATTCGATCAGAAAGGCCTTTCTCCAAAGGGAGGCGTGAATGGGCGCACTTGTGAAACGTGGGAATTGCTCACGCCGTGGAGACGGTGCTTTGTGTATGGCCTGGGAAGGGGGACTTGGGAGGGCTGTCTGCTCTGAGCTCCACCTGACTGTCACTGTGCTGGCTGGGAAACCGTGCAGGCTGTCACAGCCTACTGAATGCCCCCTCCCCCCAAGCTGACCCTGACTTACCTTTCAGCTTCCCTGCAGCCTGAGTCCTGGCCAGTGCCTCCGCCACGTTCACCACGCCTCCGCAGACTGGAACGGGGCTTCCGGAGACCTGTCTCAGGCACCCACTGCGGAAGGCTGCCTGACCAGTGGCCTCTAACTAATAATCCTTCTCAGGCAGATTCAACAAATGAGTTGAACTATTTGCCCTGGAAAGGATCACTTTTTCTCAGATCATCCTGGGCTTTGTTTGGAATCCTGTCTCTCTTTTTTATAACCCAGTGTTACATCTGCAAAGTTATTCTCTGTCTAGAAACAAAGGGCATTAGGGAACATCCGCATGACTGCCCAGTGTCCCAGAATTCACTGCGGGGAGTGGCGATTAAAGCCCGGGACAGGGACGTGGGGGAGGAGGGATATCCCCAGAATAAGCCAGCTCTGCCCCTTCTCCACTGGTTCTAGAGTGGGAACAAGTCAGCAATGTCAGCGGGCACAGGAAGGCCCTGTGCAGCAGCCGCAGGTGCACACTAGGCCCAGGGCCGTGTCGGGGCTCAGCCCTCAAAGCCACTGCACATGACACTGGTAAACACCAAGTCCTAGTGGCCCGGGAGGAGGGAGAAAAGAGGCCCCCTGGGCAGCTCGGACAGGCGCAGGGACACTGGCCAGAGGAGGGTATGGCACGGGCCTCTCACCGCTTGTAAGTCCATCCAGAGGCTGGGGGCTTTCTGAGCAAGCCACTCTGAGGTCGCGGGAACCCCTGCAGACAGTGGCCATCTCCTGAACCAGCCACCCTCCTCCTAAAATGGATTCCCTTTCCTCCCGAAGCCGCCTGCTCCCCTGTCAGCTTGTCGTGTTCCTGCAGGCTCAGGGGCAGACTGGCCGAGGGAGGTGAGCGAGGGGGGAGCAGGGACAGCCCGAGCTCTGTGGTGGCACACTCTCCCTCCACACGGTGGCCTGTGCTGGGGCGGGGAGCGGGGAGGGCTCAGGAGTTCCCCCACCCCCAGAACTGGAGGGCTGGACCGGGCTACCACCCTGTCTGAGGCGGAGCAAGGCTCCGATGTTCCCAAGGTAGCCCCTTTCAGCCAGGGGACCATGCTGGTTGGAGCAGTCTCCTCATGGTGTCCAACCCCCCTGCTGTCCTGAGGGCGTGGGGAACGTGGGGCAGGCACACAGAGAGAGACACAGAGAGAGGGGGGGAGAGAGAGAGAGAGACACTAGGAGATGGGGAGGACAGAGGAGGGAGGAAAAGAGCTGGGGGCCTTTTGTGAATAAAGGCAGCTTCAGTTAAGACAACACAATTGACAAGCTGCAAAAACAGCACCTACTAATTAGTCATCGACTAAAACATATAAATAATAAATATCTAAAGTGTCCTTTCTCTGTATCCTCCATTGCCCATTGGACATCCTGCCTTGCTGGGTGGGGGATGGGGTGGTCGGGGCAACAGCTGGAAGGTCATTGGGGTGAACTGCAGTACCTTCAGACTCATGCTGGAGAGACACACACCAAGGACTGGGTCTTTTGGGGTGCATGCTTTGCAACCAGGGGTGAGACTTGTCCAAGGGGACCCTGTCCTTTGGGGGAGGGTGGGGTCAGAGGAGAAGGGGGGCCCTCCATGGGACACATGGCAAGGAGACCCTCCAGGTTTCCGGTAGCTCGGCCATTGAGTAACACTATTGTTCAGGTTGTAAACCAGAGGACACTCAAGCTTCCCACTCTTACACTGCACAGCGGATGGGCAGCTCGGGTAAGGAAGGGCATGAATTAAAAAACCAAATCACAAATGCTTTTTCCTGGGTGTGAAAAGTCTGGTCCATGCAGTTGGTCACTCCCAGCAGCACCGAGTGTGCGATTCCCAAAGGTCTGGGGACGCCAGAACGAACAGGCTCGGGCAGGGGGCGGATATTGCTGTGCTGTTCAGCTCAGGAGTTTAGCTGCAAAGAGTCTCCTCGAGTTTCGTGCTCATGGACCCCAATACTCCCACTGTCGGGGATCAACAAGGTCACAGGCTTGGTCTCCTGGCCCACGGAGGGCTGGAGACTCCTTGCTCCTCGTCATCCCATGTTCCCTGGAGGGAGGGCGGCAGTCACCCCTCGGTGGCCCCGGGCCGTGTCACAGCACAGGCCTCCCTGCTCACCTAATGACTAAGAGGGCTGGTAGGAGGCGTGGAGCCATCTGTGCCCGCTGCCTGCCCGGGGAGGGCCCATGAGCGTGCCTTTCAGTGGCCGGTTAGCTCAGGGCCGGCGCGAGGGTTTCCTGGACCCGAGGAGGGGGAAGATGAGCTGAAGGGTGGGGGCCGGAGATCAAACCCACCGTCTGGGCAGTGCTTTTCGAACTGGGTTTTGCAGAGCCCTTGGGTTCTGAAGAGGTACCTTAGAAGATGCCCTTGGCAAAGGGGCTGCCCGGCGGGCTGAGCTCTGAGAAAGAACCTCCCGCCCCAGCTTCCACCAGAGCAGCCTGGATTTCGTCTGCACCTTGAACTTCCACCCATGACTGCACTTAGTAAACAAAGTTCTGCTGTTCAAAGTAAAAAGTTTGAGAATCACTTGTCTGGGGGGTTGGGTCATTGGAGGGGGAAGACAAGGACCCTGTAGGACTTGAGGATCGGCCAGAAGAGGTAAGACCACGCCTCCAGGAGCCGGCTTGCCAAATGCAGGTCATCGGCAGACCCTGCTTTGGCCTCGGAACCTTCCTTCTCCATCACTCTATGGCCAGCAGAGCCCCTCCCACAGAAGGCACCCCCAGGGTGGGAGGCCAGGGTCCGGCCCCACCGGGCCTCTGGCTGTGTTCCCTTGGACATCCGCTGTGGCCCACTTGCGCCCAGTGCTACCTGAGCCGGCCGTCGGGTTTGACTGCCCCCAGCTCCGACTTGGGGTCAGGACTGAAGGAACTCCAGGCCGTCTGGCTGCAGGTCTGCATGACGGGGCAGGCGGTGGGGCCTGTGGCGCAGACGTCCATGGCGGTCCACATCCCGCCCACCAGCGAGTCCAGCCAGCGCTCCAGCGCGGCGCCCGCGGAGGCCGCGTTCCTCCGGGCCTGCTCCACCTGGGCCGGGCTGATGGGCAGGCTGAGCACGGGGTTCAGGCCCTGGAAGCTCTGCTCCATGTAGGCGCTGCGATGGGGTCCGTTGTGCAGCTTCAGGGCCTCCTCTGAAAGCAAAGGGAACCATCGTGTCAGCAGACGAGCCGGGAACCTGGCGCCTCGCCGGGCACTGGGACAGCACCACTTACTTCAACGGGCAACCTCATGAACGGTCACTTTCTCAGTCCCACTGCAGACAGACAAACTGAGCCCGAGACATTCTGAGCCCAGTTTAGAGCAAAGGTCATTCGTTGAGTCATTCAGCACATACTTACGCAGCACCTTCTACAGTCTAGACATTATTACATTCCATGCACATTTACTAAACATCTACTACCTGCAAGGCGTTCATCCATTCATTGATTGGATAAAGATTTATTTGTTAAGTGCCAAGCTCTATTCTATAGGGTGGAGGGAACCAGACAGTCAAGGAGATTGCAATCTAGGGGTGTAGACTGATGACAAATAAATAAGGTTGTTTCCATCGGTAATGAATGTCATGAAGGGAATCGATGGGGTATTGAGTCAGAGCAGAGGGTGGGCACACTATGGCCCTTGGGCCACATCCGGCCCCCAACCTACTGTTGTAAATAAAGTTTTATTGGAACATGACTCTGCCCATTTGGGTAGATATTGTCTGTGCTACCACAGCAGAACCGAGTAGTGAGACAGAGACCATAAGTGGCCCACAAACCTGAATATGTTTAGTATCTAGCCCTTGACGGCAAAAGCCTTCTGATTCCTGGGTTAGAGAGTGACAGAGGTGTTTATTTTAGATGAGGTGACCAAGGGAGACCTTGCTGAGATGGTGACATCTGGGCTGAGAGCTGATTAATGTGAAGGAAGAAAGAAGCCACCTACAGACCCTGGGGAAGAGAATTCTGGACAGAGGGAACAGTGAGCATACGGCCCCATTAAGCATCTTTTCCCAAGTCACAGAGGTGATGAGTCAGAGCCAGGGTGAACCAGGTGTGTTGGTCTCGGCAGCCAGAGCAGGGCTCCTCACCAGGCTCCGAGTGCCCCTGTGAACTCTGCACAGTGCTTCTGCTCTGGTCCCAGACATGGCTGGTGCACAGACAGACTGCAGGGAAGTGTCTCGGAGAGCAGACCCTTGGACCACAGTGGGGTGGGAGGTTCCGCGGGCCCTCAGAAGGGCCCTGCCTTGCTGAGCACCCCCTCCTCAGAGACTGCAGTCAGGCTGTCTGAGTCTCCCTGTGTCCCACACACCAGGGGTGTGACTTCTGACTTCAACGCCTGGCACCTCAGTTTCCTCATCAATAAAATGGGTGGAGTACCAATACTTTCCTCATAGCGTCACAGCGATGAAGTGGGCTCACACAAAGCGCTTAACATGGTGCCCAGCATATGCTGCGTGCGTGGAAAGGGCTGGCTTGAACGACCCTTGTTGGTGTTATTAGTACACAATACACACATGCACCACTATGGGGCTGGTGGTACTGGAACCCTTCTGCAGATGGGGAAACAGAGACAGATCCGGGGTTCAACCGGAGACCGGATGACTCCAAAGCCAGTGTTTGTCCTCAGGATGACCTACCGCAGGCTCAGACAGCAGCTGGAAGCTAAAGCAATAGTTTTGTTTCCGATTTTTGTTTTTTGATTGGTGGTTGTTTTTCATCTGGGAGCCAGTCTTTCAAAGACTTGTTTTCCCCATCTGTAAAAAGGGGGTACTCACCCTTGCACCAGTTGGACCTGCTGGGCTGGCCAGAGTCCCAGACAGAAGTTCATGGGCACTGTCAGCGGTAAAACAACGCACGCACGAGAGGCGCCGTGCCGCTGCCCTGGCTCACGGGGGAGCAGAGCGTGTAGCTGTCAGGGCTGAAGGCAAGGAGCTAGCCATTTCCATGTTGAAGAAATTTCCACTCACCGCTTATTTTATTGTCAATCACAAGAATATATATATTAAAAAACACCAGCTAATGATCCTGGTGAGCATTAGAAGAAACCTCCTTATCCGAGAAAGCGGTGTTCAGAAGACAATGACTCCCGTTTGCATGACAGAGCCAGCGCCCTTGGCGAAAAGGATGGCCTGGGGGGGGGGGCCCAGACTGTTTCCTAATGTGTGGGAGGAAAGACCACATCTACAACCACCCTTCTAAACGCAATGGGAAAACCAGCTGAATTAAAACTATTCCTTGGCCTGGCCGGCGTGGCTCAGTGGTTGAGCATCGACCCACGCACCAACAGGTCACTGGTTTGATTCCCAGTCAGGGCACATGCCCAGGTTGTGGGCCCAATCCCCAGTGAGGGGCATGCGGGAAGCGGCCAGTTGATTTCTCTCTCATTGATATTTCCATCTCTCTCTCCCTCTCCCCTTCCTGTCCCTCTAAGATCAATAAAGGAAACACACACACACACGCAAGCAAACAAAAAAGTCTGCTCCTTGACTAACACACAGATGAAAGCCATTCCTCGTGTTCCCAAAGCTTCGGGGACCTGGGGAACGGGGCTCTGTGGTTTGGAGGGGAGCACGTGGGAGAAAGGAGACCAGCAGGCATGAGCATATATCCCGTCTTGCTATGATTTAGCAGAGCTTCTCCCTTTCAAGTCAGGTAGGTCCGTGTCCAGCAAGCTGGCCCTCGCCTGCCGCTCCCTGATGCCGGCACAGGGTGGGCAGCCTGCCATCGGCCAGGAGAGCAGAGCCTGGTCTCTTGGGTCCAGGCCCAACTTCTCTCCCAGAGCCTCCCTGTGCTTCCATCCTGCAGATGGGGAACGGGGGATACCCCAACCGACCCAACACGAAAGCGCCGGCGTGTAAAGCGGGGGGAGCCGCTAACAAACCCCTGAACCCCAACGTTGTGGCGATGCAGACAGCCCCCCGGGGTTCGCGCGGGACGTGCTTGTACAGCTTCCGCCTGCAGTGCCCGTCTCTATAATTAAGTTTCCCCAATTCCACCTCGTCAGATTTCTTGAGATTACTAGGGACGCATCGGTAGCAAATTACTCTTGATGAATCATTTTACAAATTGCACGGCTCCACCTTCGTGTTCCCTGTCACTGGAACGTTGTTAACAGATACAATTACTGACGACGGGGGTGCTCCCAGGGGGGTGAAGTGACCCCCAGTTCACGTCGGGCGTGGGTGGGAAAGGCTCGCCATCCGCAGAAACTCCAGGAGAAAAAAACTGGGAAACTCAGGACCCAGTGAAGGGCCTGGGCTGTTTACTGGACTCAGGACCCTCCTTTGTTCTGTCCCACAGGTGCACCCGATCCAAGAGGAGCCCGCTCTTTCCACCGCACCCCTACATCTGGCTGTGCAGATCCCGAGAGATGCCATGGACGGGAACCTGATCAAGGGACACTGGAGGGCCCTTGGTGGCTGTGCACTGGCCCAGGCAGTTCTGGGGGAGCTTTTGTCTGTTTGGAGCAGAGTGGACAAGCAGACTTCCTTCTCCAGAAAACACAGCCTCTTTCTGCTTGTTCAGCACAGAAGCGCAGCAGCAGTCGACAGAATCCATCCCGACACTCCCTTCTGTAGGACCCCAGGCACCCCCTCCCCACGTCTCCGTCCCCCTCCCCTTCCATCACGGGCTAAATGGCACCAGCTCAGGACTCAGTAAACAGAGGCTGTGATCGTTTGATTTGCGATCTGTTAGATGGAGACAAACAATTTCAAATCCGGAGAGACTCCGAAATCCCGTTTCTAGGGATCTATTTTATAGACGTGTCTGCATGGGCATGAATAGTTTTAGGTTCAAGGGTCTTTTTTTTTTTTTAATCCTCACTTGAGGATACTTCCCCCCCCCCCCCATTTATATTCAGATAGAGTGGGAGGGAGGGAAGGAGAGAAACATCGATGTGAGAGAGACAATGTCGACTGGCTGCTTCCTGCACGACCCCAACCAGGGCTGGGGATGAACTGCAACCGAAGTGCATGCCCTTGACCAGAATCGAAACCACATCTCCTTGGTCTGTGGGCCAACACTCCAACCGCTTAGCTAAACCAGCTAGGACTCAGGATCTATTTTGCAGTGTTATCTATGATGACAGAAGCTATGTCCACGGATGGGGACAGATGGATTGGGGGTCCTTAATCCAATGGAATAGTCTGCAGTTGGTGGCTTTATATATATATACTGACTTGGAAAGTGACCAAAGTAAGTTTCACTATGAAATGTATCATTCTGTTTTTACAGAACGACAATGTGTTTGTAGTTGATTTTGTGTGTTTATGTTTATGCTTTAAAAGTGTTGAGAAACCTGTAGAAGGATGCACGCCAAGCTCTTGGCAGCGGTTACTCTTGGGGGTAGGGTTAAATGGGGAAGCAGTCATTCCCAGTGACAAAAGGAGAGGAGAAAATTGAAAAGTAATCCTATCGGACTGAAAAAGAACACAAAGGCAGGCCCGTGATGGGTCGGACATCCCTCTGCCTGCCTCCGTGCTCAGGGGAAACCACCATCCTGAATTCTGTTCACAATCCCCTCAGTTCCCTCTCCGCTTTCTACAGACACCTGAATCCTGAGTGAGTCTATTGCTGGCTTGGCCTGGTTTTAAACTTTAAATACACACACCATCATTATGATTCCTTCCGTGATGTGTCCCACCAACATGATGCTTTCGAGACAGCCTCATGCAAATGTCCATCGTCGGTGCGCTCGCCGTGTAGCAAACTCCACGGTCTGCACAGGCCACACTGACCGTTCCCATGACTGTGTCCAGGTCAGTGTCCTTATGAACATCTCGGCTCTATTTCTGCCCAAGTCTCTAGAGCATTACCCTGGGTGGAATTTCTGTGCGGTGGGGTGAGTGTACGTTCAGCTGTATTAGGAAATGCCAGGCCGTCCCAGCAACACTAACTGGACGGTCACCACCTCCCCACCGTGACACTTGGACCTCCCAGTGTTCCCCAACATCATGGGGGTGAAGCAGGAGCTCTTTTTACCTTTAATTTACATTTCTCTCATTATTCATGAGGCTGAGCATCTTTCTATATGTGTGGGGCCCATTTATGTTCTCTCTTCCTTTTTTTCTCCTTTACAACAGAGGTTAATAATTTTTCTACTCAGGGCCGGATGGCAAATATTTTTGGCTTGGCGGGCCAGGGATTTTCTGTCTCAACTATTCCACGCTGCCATGGTCGGCCCAAAGCAGACACAGTCAATGTGAAAATGAATGGGTGTGACTGCGTTCCAGTAAAACTTTATTTACAAAAACAGGGCGTGGGCCAGACTTGGCCTGTGGCTTACTGCTTGTTCCGATTTATAAAATTTCTTTATATGCTCTGAGCATGAGCATTTTTATTACGTGTAGCGAATATTTTCCACGAGTCTGTGGTGTGTCTTTTTACCTAGTGCAGGAATTTTCGACCACTTTCCTCTCAGGGCACACACACACTGATCATAAAATTCTGTGGCACACCAAAAAAATATTGTATTTGTGGCCAATCTGACCAAAGAATAGATAGAATTTGAATGCATCCATACAGGGAGGCTACTGCTGTGTCGGCTGTTGTCATTTTTCAATTTGACAATCGACGGGAAAAGAGGTCAGTGCCCTGACTAAACTGTCAGCGCATGTTTTAAAAATTTGTGTGGCAGCCCTGGCCAGTTTGGCTCAGAGGTTGGAGTGTCGGCCTGCGGACTGAAGAGTTGCAGGTTCGATTCCGGTCAGAGACAACGTACCTGGGTTGCAGTTCGGTCCCACACCCTGGTTGGGTCATGTGGGAGGCAACCGATCGATGTGTCTCTCTCACATCCACGATTCTCATTCTTTCTCCCTCGCCCACCGTATCTAAAGATAAATGGAAAAACATCCTCAGCTGAGGATTAAACAAATAAATAAAAAAATTCATGTGGCACACCGGTTGAAAATCGCCGACCTAGTGTTATCGTCTTTTTGACGAACAGAACTTCCTGTTTTAATTAACATTTTTTAGACGGTGAACTAGATTTGCCAAAACTCAGTATCTTCCTGGGTTTATTTTCCATCTTGTCTTAAATCTGATCAGCGCCTTCTGGGAGTCCAGGGGGAGAGCATCTAATAAAAAGTGATCCAATTCACAGACGACGTGAGCTCAGTGTGCAGGTAGAAAGCAAACACTGAGAGCAGACGGCCCTGCTCTCGAAAGTGGCCCACCCTCCCCACGTCTGGGCAGCCCTGCCTCTCAGGCCACGGACCCACGACGCCCCGGGTGGGCTCTTTTCCCCTGGAGACACTGCGTACTCACCCGCTTTGATGGGCTGCCTGTTGGAGAAGGTCAGAGGTGCGACGAGGAATTTGGTCTCTGCGACGGGCACCCAGTGGTGGAGAATTTTCACTGTCCAGACCCCAGGCCTCAGGGGCAAGTTCAAAGGGGGCTTGTAGTGGGTGAATTCGGCAGTGGACTCAATCAGGATGTCGTAGGTGGCCGCGATGACGTTGACGGGGTCCACCCAGATGATGGTCACGGTCACGTTGGGGCCCTTCCCCCATTTCTGCATGCCTACCGGCTCGTCCATGGGCCCCAGGAGACCCCCAAAGTTACGGAAGAGCCGCTCCTTGGCATCCCAGTCAGTGCCGACCTGAAACAGGAGAGTGAGTCCTGAAATCACTGCGCCTGAGCGAGGGTGCTGGGTCACGCAAAGGCCTGGGAGCCTGCTTACTGGGCTTCATAGACACATTTTACAGATGAGGACGTGGGGAAACTGAGGCTCCGATTAAGTTACTTGTTCAAGGTCTGAGAGGCAGTAAGCAGAAGATCTGGGATCTGAACCCAGGTTGGGGGATTACTAGGTCTGTGGTCCGTTCACTAAACCTTTGGGCCTCCTCTGCCTGGCCCCTGATGTATGACTTGGGGGCAAAATGTGTCCTGAATGAAAGAATGAATGAATGAATCCCTGCTTGCAGGCCATTCCAAAGAGACACACACCCTGCCATTCAATAGGTACAGCTGCTTCCACTGTGCTCCGTGGTGTCCCAGATCCCGTCTCCATTTAGTGAGACTGTTCTGATCAGGACTGGAGCTCAGGTTTTGGAGCTGCCCGGTCATATGCCAGAGAAAGAGAGGGCTCGCCAGCATCGCCTGTCATCTGCAGAGTTCCCACGCTTTCCCAGGAAGAGACAGCTCTGGCCCCCCTGGAGCATTCTGAGCTGGACCCTATGGATGGGAGATGGTTGTCCAAGCACCCTTCCCACCAGCCAGTGGATCCGTGGCTTTGTCCTTCCACGAATCCACTCTCCTTCCCTCCTTGTACTCTGTCACCTGCAGCCTATTCTCCACCCAGTAGCCAGACGACCTTGTGCACTGTCCTTGAACTGCTCACCGCCCTGTGCTGCGTCCGCTGCTCTCTCCTGGTGCTCAGCACTGGGCCTGGCACGCAGTAGGTGCTCAGTATCTGCCGATTGAATGACTTGACAAAAACGGAATTAACTGCAGAGATCCCTGATAGTGAGCTCTGTTACTGTTTCAAATCAAATTCAAGTAGGGTCTTCAGCTGCCCAGGAGGTTTAATTTAATGCTTTGGAAGACACAGCACGGAGCACGTTGGTGGCAGATAAACACACCCTACAGCTCGCACTGCTTCTGAGGTCTCTCCATGGCCAGCACCTCCAACGTGTGTGTCTGCAGGCCAGGGTGCAAGTGAGGGTAGCTCCTCTACACCCCGACAAGGTTCCACATGTAAGGTGCAGACAGGAGCTGGTTTCTTCTCTCCAGGTTCTCAGTCACTGTGTCCTCTCCTCACACAGACAGCCTCGGCTGGGAGGTACCGAGAGCGTACACCAGGCATAACGCTAAACATCTGGATGCATCGACTCACTTAACACTCACTCCCAACTCCACTCTGGTCCTCATCCCCATCTTACAGATGAGGAAACTGAGGCTCAGAGCAGTTAGATAACTTGCTATGGTCAGCGAGGGGCAAAGCCAGCAGGGGAATGCAGGAAGTCTTTCCCCAAAGACTGTTCTTATTTACTCCTAAGTATTGCCTCCTAGTCATTCATTTGTTCACTCACTCACTCACTCACTCACTCATTCATTAACACACGTGTGCCGAATATCTGCCCCCTGCTGGGGAGACTATTAGATTGCAGCCTAAAGAGTGGTCCTACGGGCAGCGGAGGTAGTGATGCTGCGGCATTTCTGCAGGGGCACCGTCCCTCATAGACTTGTGAAACCGTGGCATGTTCTGCCACCCTGTGGGTCGGCAGGGGCTGGCTGCTCTGGCGGACGCTGGTGCCTAGCACACGGGCTGGAACACAGTAGAAATTACAATGATACCAGACTGAAGAAACAAATGAAAGAGGGAGCAGGATTCAAGCTCCACCTTGAAGTCTTACAGGTCTCTGTGAAGAAACCTGATTCTAAGTGCAATCCTTTTCGGTATCTCATTGTTCTTAAGTCTGGTCTCTCACGCTGTCCTGTGAGGTCTGGTCCTTCTGGGTCTGTTCCTTTCTGCCCCTCCCTCTCCTCTCCACTCACCCCTGCTCCAGGCCCCCCTGGAGCACTCTCAGCGCCTCCTTGAGAAGGGCTCTCTCGCCTCTGATCTTGTGTCTGTGCCCACCTCTCTCTGGCACAGTCCGCCTTACTTTCCCCACCCTCTTCCTGGCCAGCTCTTGTTTATCATCTACACCTCAGCCAGGATGTCACCTCTACTTGGAAGCCTTCCCTGCTTAGACGCACCACTGAGATACTTCTCTAAGCATTGGCTCATCGCAGCTTTTTTGTTTGTTTTTGCACAGTATTGCAGCCCTTAATGTTGTCCTTCTCCCTAGCTCAAGACTGTCAACTCCACAAGAGTAGGGACAGTATCCGGCTTCTTCATCAGTGTATCTCTAGTGCCCAAATCAGCGCTGAGCACATGGTAGGTGCTCGATATATCTCTATCTCTATATCTACCCATCAGCTATCAATCTGTCTATCCATCATCTATCTATGTCACGAACGATTAGGGGCTGAGCACACGGACCTCTCTATGCACCCTGGCCCTGCATACAAGACTCCAACAGTTACTGACAAGTGGATGAATGGTACGGAATTACATGAGGGTTCAGCTTCTCTGCCTAACGCTGCCATTAGTTGAGATGTCTCTGTTCATTTATTTGCTCACTCATTGGCTGCCCCACTGGAGAGCAATTCCCTGACAAGGGTCTGGTCTGTCTGTTCACTGCTGTTCCTTCTGGACCTCTCATATCATAGGCTCTTGGGGACTCTCCAAGCCACCAGCATGGGGCTCCCATGGGATGGAGAACTCTATCTGAGCTGCCCTTCTGCCATGAGCCAGGCCCTAGGCACAGCCCTGGGACTGTGCCGACACAAGGGGACTTCTCAACAGCCCACGAACCGGCCCTGCAGTTCTTTCCCTCCTTGTCCAGGTTACATTTCATGTGACCTGACCAGGAAGCCAACCAGCAACCTCTCAGCGCACGGGCTGGACGCCCAAACCACCAACACACTGGCCGGGCCGATTCAGGGCTCCTTGTGTCACCAGTTGGTACTCTGCCAGAGATCTTGGTGGCTCTCAAAACCAAGGGTACCAGAACTATAGTAGGAACTCTCACAAATCACCGGCCGCGAGTGGCCAGTGTCATTTGTCACTGCCAGAAGTGCCCGGCTCCCCAACGGCAGGCTGATAAACAGGGAGAGCCCAGGCATCAGGCATCCATCTCGCTAATGGGACATTAATGTCTTCAATTGGCCGCTTGGGCCCCCAGCACAGACTCCAACCAGGGCAGTGTCTAATTGCCCCCTGGCACCAGTAATTTATGGAGTGGGCTCCCATGGCAGCTCAAACCCAGCCAATCCATTTGGAGCCTTAATTGAAAACGGTGCCTTCCCAAGAAACTCCCACCCGTGCCTGTTCAGTGCCCACTCGGTAGGGCACAGGTCGGCCAGGTGAGGCTACCGGCGTCTGGAAGAAGACCGGCAAGGAAAATGTGAGTGGGTGAGATACTTACCCCAGTCCACTCCCATCCCTCAAGAGTCTCCACATTCTAAAACTGGCCCCTCGGCCAGCAGCCAAACTCACTGAGGGTGCTAAACTCCAGGGATGAATCCCTGCTCTAGCCACTTGCCGATGTGGGGAAGGCAGAAATCCCACGAGGAGCTTTGTGTGGGCAACCCTCACCAAGCTTGGCCAAGCTTCCCCTTCCTTCCAGAGCGCCAGCCAAGCGCAGGCACTCATTCATTCAGAAAGCTCTGCTGTTGTCGTTGACACTGTTACAGATGTCCCCCATTCTCCCTACAGTGCCCACCTCCCCCGGCCCCACCCCCTCCCCCGGCCCTCACCACACTCTTGTCTGTGTCCATGGACTATGCATATATATTCTTTGGCTAATCCCATCACCTTATTCAGCGTCTATAAATGCGACGTACTCTTCCATGTGCTGGGGATACAGCAGGGAGTGAGAGGGATCTCTCTCTTGTGGACCATCACCAAATGACAGGTGTCAGATCACGGGACAGGACCCAGCCAGGGGGATGCAGAGGCGGTGAAGTATGACAGTCTGGTCTCTTACCTCGGAAAACTGAAGCCTCCCAAAGTCGCTAGGTGGGCTTGCGATCTTGAAGACCTTCTTGGGCATCACCCACGTCTCCAGGGTCTCGAGTTTGCTCACGGCCAGATTGGTAGCGTGGTGCTTGATCAGAAAGCCCTGGAAGCGGTCAGCAAGGAAGTAGAGGTGGACAGATGCTGGGTGGCCCATCGGGTAGTACCTGGAAAACACGCAGTCTCACACGAGCTCACGCGTCAGGGCTGGAGATGTGCAGGCTCACAGCGGGGTGCCCACCACCAAGCTGGCCTCGTTCCTAAAATCACCTCCGTTTTCTACAATGCTTATCACATCTCGGGTATCTTTGACCTCAATAACTACTAACAATAGCCTTTTGGTTGATTCTACATGTAAAGTATGCTGAGTGTACAAAAGCACAATCAAGAAAACAAAAATGGCTACACTTGATGCCTCTTTACATAGATGATATCAATTCACAGATATTTATTGACCCTCTGGTGCAAGGTACCGGGAAGCAACAACGGTGTGCAAACAATGTCATATTAACATATCTCCTCTCAGCCTTATTTTCTATGCATATATTTGCATAAATCTGACATTGCTGAGATCATCATACACATACTGGTTATAGCCTGCTTTTGCTTCACAGTATTTCCCATAGTATGCTTTTGAAAAGTCTCTAACAGTGCGATACACATATACACTATTCTACACATGGAATGCCGTATTTACAGAGCCATGTCCCATCGCTGGCTGTTTAACTGATCTCTATTTTTTGGCCATTCTAAATCATACTGCACTAAACATCCTTGAGCAACACTGGTTTCTAAAACACCTCTCTCTCTCTCTCTCTCTCATCTCTAAGGGGCTCTTTATGTCTGCTGTCTAACTTGATCAGAAAAGGTTGCACTGATTTACGCTCACACCGTTCTCAGTCACAGCACTGGGTACCGTCCTGAAAAATTAATTCAAGGCCCACGGATTCATACACGAAGAGGTAGCTGTTGTTTTGAGATGCGTGTCTTTGCTCTGCAATGGCTCACTGGGAGAAAGGGGCAGGGAAACTAAGCAGAGATGCCCCGAAGGGAGTGCAGGAGGGGGCTTCAGATAAGCCGGGCTTGTCTCTCCCACCTGTAGAGTAAAAAGGCCGCCGGCTTCTGCAGCAGGTAAATCGCACACACTCAGATGGTGCTTGTGGCTCCCTAATAACAGTGCTCCACAAATCACTGTTTCTGCTCAGCCTCCTGCCCTCTGGGGCTGATCTGGGGCGCAAGTCTTTGTGTCCAATTATAATAGTTGGGGAAGCACCTTCCTGCGTTTCTGCCTGTTCAGAACTCACTGCCTCGCTCCTGGAAGGCCCCTGGGGCTGAGAAAGAAGCCTGTACCCTCTCCAGGCCGCCGGCTGGGCATCACGGCTCACGCAGGTCTGCTCTGGGTCTGAGGGGAGCTGAAAGCCCCGCCCTGGACCGGCTGCAGAACTCTGTGCAGAGATGGAGACGTTCTACGGCTGTGCCCTCCCCTGCAGCGGCCACTGGCCACTGTGACTACCGAGCACCTGAAATGCGACTGGTGTGATGGAGAAACTGCATTTTTTATTTCATTCCATTTTCGTTCATTTGAACTTAAATACCTACTGGCGGCTAGTGGCCACTGCACTGGACATAGATAGTCATGACAGTCTCGTGGTTGGCTGCAGCAATGCCTCCATCTCTTCCCCTCTTCTGTCTCCTTACTCTTTTCCACGTGACTCGGCAGGTTCCTTGCCCCACTGAGGCAGAGCCCATTCCCCCCCTCCTGAGCCGGCTTCAGCCAACAGAATGTGCTGGAAGGCACGCCATGCCACGGCCCAGCCAGGGCCTCAGGAAGCCTTGCACATCTCCTTTCTTTTGTGATAAGAACATGCCTCGTGGACCAGCTGAGCATGTCATCGTAAGCAGTAAGCAGAGCCGCCTGTGGGGTTCAAGCAGGGGACAGTGGGTGTGGCCATTGAGGTTATCGTGGACGAAAGGAAGAAGGAGACAGGTAAGGAGGCTGTGCAAAGGCCCAGGCGAGGTGTGCCGGTGGCCTGGACCAGGATGCTGGCAACGCATGGGCAGTTGAGGAAGGGACTCAGGAGGAAACAGCAGGATTTCCTGATAGAAGGGGAGGGAAAGCAGGCAATCAAAGATGAACTCCTAGGTTACCTGGGAGCGTGCCTGGGCTAGCCTGCTGGAGGATGAGACGTTTGGGGCAGAGCACAGCCACCAGCCATGAACCACAGAGCCCTGCTCCCGACCGGCAGCGGCTGCAGATTCAGCAGAGATGCCAGCTGAGACCAGGAACACCGCCCAACTGACCCGCAAACTGGAGCTCTGTGTCTACGCTTATCATTTCCAAACACTGATTTGGGGCTTGTTCGTTATGCAGCATTATGGCAGTAGCTAAATAGTACGCTGTCAGTGTTTGTTCTGTAAGGCGGTGGAGTCACTGGAGGTGGAAGAACAGGAGAGCTTGTTGGCATGGGAGTCAACTCAAGTTTCCAGCCGGAGCAGTCCAGAAGGGGGCCTGCTAAGGCAGCGGTTCTCACCTGTGGGTCACGACCCCTTTGGGGGTCGAACGGCCCTTTCACAGGGGTCGCCTATGACATAACAGTAGCAAAATGAAGTGGCAATGAAAATAGTTTTATGGTTGGGGGTCACCACAACATGAGGAACTGTATTAAAGAGTCACTGCATTAGGAAGGTTGAGAACCACTGTGCTAAGGGATCAAGGAAATGAGCATTGGTCAAGCACTCTAGAAAGCAACTTTGTTTTTTTTTTATCCTCACCCAAGGATATTTTTTGATATTTTATTCAGAGAGAGTGGGAGGGAGAGAGAGAGAGAGAAACATCGACGTGAAAGGGACACATCGAGTGGTTGCCACCTACACTGCCCACCCAGGGCCGGGGACAAACTACAACCGAGGTACGTGCCCTTAGCGGGAACTGAACCTGGGTCTCTCCAGACCGCAGGCCAACGCTCCAACCGCTGAGCCAAACTGGCCAGGGCTAGAAAGCAACTTTGATTGCCTGCTTTCCCTCCCCTTCTATCAGGAAATCGTGAGTCCATCTCCACCTGAGTCCATCCTCGACTGCCCTACACACTCCAGCATCCTGGTCCAGGCCACTGGCACACCTCACCTGGGCCTTTGCACAGCTTCCGTACCTGTCTCCCTCCTCCTTTCATCCACGATAACCTCATAATGGCCGCACCCACCGTCCCCTGCTTGAACCCCTCAGGCGGCTCTGCTTACTGCTTACGATGAAATCTAAATTTTGCACCTGGTCGACAAAGCCCTATCTCTTTCTCTGGCCTTATTTTGTTTCCCTCTGCCCCAAACCACCACCTTCTAGGCACATGGACCTTATTTGGGATTTTTGCACACACTAAGCTCATTTCCACCTCAGGACCTTTGCACAGCACCTTCTCTGTGCTGGGAATGCTCTTCTCCGCTTAGATTGCATGGCTGGCTGTCTTATCATTGTTGCTTAAGTGTGACCACTTCAGAGAGACCTTTCTCGACTGCTGAATCTTAAGTCACCAACTTATTGCTATCATGTGGCTTTGCCTTCATTCCCAGTAGAGCATTTATCCCTACTGATCATTTTTTTTTTTTTTTTTTTAATCCTCACCTGAGGACATTTTTGCATTTATCTTCAGGAGGGAGAGCGGGAGGGAGAGAGGGAGGAAGAGAGAGAACCATCGACGTGAGAGAGACACATCAAGTGGTTGCCACCCACACGACCCCAAGCAGGGCCGGGGACAAAATGCAATAGAAGTACAGTGCCCTTAGCAGGAACTGAACCCGGGTCTCTCTGGTCCATGGGCCGATGCTCTAACCGCTGAGCCAAACCGGCCAGGGCTCTACTGATCTTTTGTTCTTGTTTACCAGATCTTAGACACGGTCTGTCTTCACACTTGAATGGGAGGGGCCTGGTCTGTCTGGGTCACGGCTGAGTGCCCAGCGCCTAGCACAGAGCCTGCCACATGGTAGATGCTCAAGCTATACTTGTTGGTCGAGAGAACATTCTAGAAGAATTTTCTCTTGAACCCTTTGCTTCCAAGGGACATCTGGGATACATGTAACCCAGGACTGAGCACAAAGCCTTCTGTTACTGGTCTTGACTGTAGATGATACTTAACTAAAATTAAGAAGGGAGTTTGTTTTAACCAGATGCAAAGCAACAGAACTAAAGGATGCCACAGACTCATCTCACCCAAATTCTTGTTCAAATAAGTGGGCACTGAAAAAAGGAGGAGATTCACAAAAATCTAGATTTCTCATCTGTTTTGAAAAGTGGCTCTATGTCTACAGTCCCACAGGGCAGGGTGTGCCCAGCTCAGCACCGGGGCCGCGTGCGTCCGGCTGGCACCGTCAGGCCCGCTGCGGGGCCAGCGCTGGTGGACACAGGCTGCCTGCCCGGCCCAGGAGGGCGCTTGAATTTGAGGACTTGTAATAAAACACTGACATCTTTATCTCTGGAGGGCGGCTCACAAGCAAACTGTATTTTCTTGTTCTCTCAATCTGCCATTTCGAAAATTTCTGCAACAAGCATGAGTTATTTTATAATGAGGAAAAAAAAAAATCAATGAACATTATTTTTATGAAAGGTCATCCCACAGACTGGAAAGACACAATTTGCATGAAGTGCCCAAAGGAAATGAGAGTCTTGAAGTAAAGTTTTCACTTGCTGTTTCGCCAGATGCCCTAGGGGTGGGAATTTACTCTCCTTTGCCTTTTGGGATAAGGGTCCTTTGTCCTGATTTATTTTCAGCCTCATATTCATAAATATATTGGTTTTGCCCACAGCAAGGCACAGCGATTCTATTATAATAAAAAATGAACAAGAAGTCAAAGGATTCCAGGCCGGAGGCACCTTGATGGCCTGCTAAATCCCCAAACAAGTGCTGGGAGAAAATTTCAACAACCCTAAACAAATTGGGGGTGTCTTGGAATTTCCTATAAGATCATTTACCTTATAAATGCTAAGCAGCCTGGGATTAAGGCTATTCTTGAACGACATTCAGCTCCCAACCGTGGCACTGGGCTCTCTACTGGGGATTCGTACTGTGGTTCTGCAAGGGTGCTGTCCCCAGACTAGCAGGGGGAGAAGACCTTCACCGTTGACCTTGACCCAAGGTCCTGCTGCTATGGGCACTGGGACGGTGGGACGTAAGTCTGAGCCACTTTTGGCTTGGGCGGGGTGGGGGAGGGGGCTGTCAGGGGAGCTCACAGCAAGCGTCACGGAGGATGTAGCCCTCGGAGACAGGAGACAAGGACAGGGCAGGCCGTGCAGGGACAGTTGGGGCAGGAGGCAAAGAACGCACAGAGAGACCAAGGAGCAGTTCATGTAACCAGCTCCGGAGCGTGTAGCTCACACACCAGACTCCCTGTTGACTTTGGCAGCTTAATAATAACGGCACTTTGTATGTAAAACACTGTTCCAACGGGGAAGATAATAATACATAAATCAGAAGGCTGTTTTTGAGGATTAGCTCCTTTAAACCTCACAGTACCTTAGGTGTAAGGCTTATTATTTTCAATGTACACATGATGACACTGAGGGTCAGAGAGGTCAATTACTTGTCCAAGGTCAACAGGTAGTAAATAAGAGTTGAGTTCAATGAGTAGACTCTGGGTTCCCAACCCACATTGAGCTTTCTTTCTCTTCTTTTTAAGATTTTTAAAAATAGATTTTTAGAAAGAAAGGGAGGAGAGAGAAAGAGAGAGAAACATCAATGTGAGAGTGAAACACTGATCAGCTGCCTCCTGCACGAGCCCTACTGGGGACTGAGCCTGCACCCCAGGCGTGTGCCCTGACCGGGAATCGAACAGGCAACCTTTCGGCGCGTGGGACGACGCCCAACCACCTGAGCCACACTGGCCAGGACTACCCTGGGTTTGCCGTTAAGTCAGAACCTGCAGGGAGAGAGGGCTGAGGCCACGAGGAGATGAAGACCAACTGTGGCTGCCCTGCACAAAGCCAGCCGGCCATGCAGGAGGTCCCGGCCAGGAAACCTTCCCGTAGTTTCAGGCTTTTAGGCCATAGTTCCTGAGAAGAGGGAAGAACTGGGCAGGGAGGGGCACACAGGGGAAGCCTCCGTGGAGAGAGACTGGCAGAAAATTTGTGTTTTCTATTTGCTTTGAAAGAGGGAGGCGGGAGGAGGGGAAGGGAGAACGAGAGAGAGAGAGAGAATGCTCAGAGGCACTTCTAAAAACCCAGCCTCAGAAAATAATCAGAGAAAAAAGGAGGAAAGAAAAAGAAGCCTTCTGCAAAAAGATACTCATCAGGACATTATTTACAATGGCCCATTACTGACAATAGCAACAGGAAGGGCTGGATTAAGCAAACTCTGGAGTTTCTGCTCAGCGGAACAGCTACGGCATTAAAAAGGATCATTAGTGCCACGGAAGCTGCAGAGCGGCGGGGAGGGGCTGTTACAGGGCCGACCAGGACTCCGAATTCCTGCTGCAAACATGGAAATAGCCGCACCGCACACTGCTAGGGAACAGAGGAAAAGCCAACAGGATGAAAAGGGCTGCTTGGCTTAGGGGAAGACGGCGGAGGGGAGGGCAATATGTTCAATTCTTGTCCTACCTTCCCCTGGTCTTTCCATACATTCTAGAACACTCTTTCCTCAAGTGTCAGCCGGTACCCGCTAGTGGCAGGTGAGACAATTCTGAGGCACATTGGAAGACGTTTTAAATACTAGTTCTGCATGTTGCCAGTGCGTTTGGTCACATTTTGGGGTGTGGTAATGACAGTAGAGTTATGTTTTAAAATGGAGTCTTTCTTTTTCAGAGACATATGTGAAAATATTTATGGCTGAGGGGCTGTGACGTCTGGGATGTGCCTCAGTTGAACTGATCCGGGAGGAGGGTGTGATGAAGGGGGACTGGTCACTGCCAGAGCTGGGTGACGGGAGCATGGGGTTACACCCCCTATTTTGAATGTATTTGACATTTTCCATAACAAAAGGTAAAAAAACGAAAAAGTTCTGTATTTCCATGGTTACCTTCCATATAAGTTAAACGCAGCTATATAATACGGTGACATAGAGCTTCCTTCTAAAATATATATGCTTAGCATAAAGGCTGAAAGGAAATAATTGGGTAAATATTAGATCTGGTATTCTGAAAAGGTAAAATACTGACGATGGCTTAGCCGGGGGATGGATGGCCAGGACATGCTCTGAACACTGGGATGGTTGCATAGATGCCATTTTTTTTTTTTTTTTTTATCCTCACCCAAGGACATTTTTTGCATTTATCCTCAGATGGAGAAGGAGGAAGAGAGAGAGAGAGAGAAACATTGATGTGAGAGAGACACATCGACTGGCCGCCACCCACACGACCCCAACTGGGTCCGGGGACAAACTGCAACCAAGGTATGTGCTTTAGCAGGAACTAAACCAGGTCTCTCTGGTCCATGGGCTGACGCTCTAACCGCTGAGCCAAACCAGCCAAGGCATGTAAATGCTTTTTGGGTAAAGGAAGAGAGGGAGAAGCATGCAGAGGAGGTGCAGCCCCTAATGCCGAGGAAGGTCTACACCCTCCTTCTCGCTCCCGTCTGTCCCTGCCCCACCCTACGTCGCCCTCCCTGCTCACCTGCAGCTGTTCTCCCCGTCCGTGTGCAGCGAGGTCTCAGCGCGTCGGAGGCCCAGGCGGGCGAAGGAGTGGTACAAGGTGAGCGCCACGTCGCTCAGGCTATGGGTGCCGTCGGGCTCCTCGTAGACGTTCTCCCAGTAGGAGCGGAGGCCAGGGGTGCCGGCAGGGTAGTTCCCGTACAGGTAGTAGTCCAGCTGCCCGATGATCTCCTGATTCACCACGGCTTCGAACTTGCGGGCAAAGAAGGTAGGCCGGGCTGTTTGCTGTGCTCAAGGGATAAAAAGATTGCTGTCAGCAAGTGGTGTGTGTGTGTGTGTGTGTGTGTGTGTGTTGGGGGCCACGTGTGGTTGGGGCAGGGCTGTGCCCCAGCCTGCCTGCAGCCGGATTCCAGCTCCCACACTGACTAGCCTCTCTGTTCTCACCTTCGTCCTCTGTAAAATGAAATGGACAATCAGGGTGTCAGAGTGGAATGAGTTAATCTTTGTAAAGCATTTGCAGCAATGATGGGCACCTGGGAAGCATCATTTAAGTGTTTGTTAAATAAATCACACCCTGGTGTTTGTAGCTGAGATGGATCTTCGAAATCAGTTAGCTAGAGGTCTAGGGCAAATGCAGCCTAAGGATATATTTTAATTGTCCAGCACAGTGTTTTAAAATTGAATTAGCTGGCAATATTTAAAAAGCAGAAGACTTCACAGCAACAGTTCTTGGCTTCTCTTTAAACGGAAATAGATCCAGCAAACCTAGGCCCATGTTCCTATATGGCAACCACTGCTTAAAGCTGAAAAGCAGCTGTCCCTTTAGATGGGTGTGGTTTCTTCAGCTCACCACAGTCCCCACCACCCCCTATTGCCACCTGGGCATTGCAGCAGAGTCAGCATCTCTGGAGATGCGGTTTAGGAACCTGCATCCCAAAACGCTTCCCTGGTGATTATGATGCAATGTTTAAAGGCCATTTATGTACGCCAAATTTTCAAGGAGACTGGAGCCCAGAGAAGGAAAGGGACTCATCTAAGGTCACACAGCAAAGTAATGACCAAGCCAAGATTAAAAAAATAAAGTTCTGAGCACCTGTTATCTACCAGGTCTTATACTATGGTCTGGGTGGGGAATCAGCACACTTTTTAAGTAAAGGGCCAGATAATAAATACTTCCAGCTTTGCAACTATTCAACTTGGCTGTTGTAGTGTGAAAGTAGCCATGGACAAAACAGTAAATGAATGGATGTGGCTGTGTTACAAAAGAGCGTACAAAAGCAGCCAATGGGCTGGATTTGGCTCAGATTAGTCTGCTGACCCCTGTCTAGGGCGATGGAAATGATTCAAACATAGCCCCCCTCCCTTGAGGAGCTTATGCTCTAGTGTTATTATTGACCAAAGTTTGGTGTAGCATTGTTTTTGCTGCTGTGGATAGCTAGCAACAATGACAACTACTGAGCACATGCTAGATGCAGGATATTTCAGTATGTCATCACCTCTAATCCTCCCAACAACTCTGCGAAGCAGGCATTCCAAGTTCCATTTCACAGATGACGAAACTGAGCTCAGGGAGGAGAAGTGATACATACAAACTCACACAGGCAGAAGACTTGAACCAAATCTGACGTCCCTCAAACCCAAGCTCTTTCGACTATATCATCCAAGGATCCAGCTGCTAATTGAGTAAACCAGAAGCTCCTGGTAACAGATACCTTTTGTGTTATTCTGAACATTTCCTGTCTTCTCTGCTTCATGAACCCCTGGGACCCCTCGCCTCTGTGGTCAGCTCAGTTCCTTTACAGTCACTAGAAAGACAGACCACCTGGGTTCAAATCGTCACCCTGCTACTTTCAACTGTGTATGTCTTTGGGCAAGTCACCGAGGACCTCAGCTTCCTCATCCTTAAAATGGGTATCATCTGGGTACTTATAGAGTCTGGCACATAGTGTTAGCTGCTGTTATTATGTTATTATTATTTGTTATCATTACTTCCCCCTTGAGCCTCCTAACGGGCTTCTAAGTCTTGGTTTTCTGGGGGCAGAGAATCAGACTCAGCGGCAGGGCGGCCTTCTTTCCTCGTCCACAATTCTTTGATCATAGCTGGATCTTTAAAAAGGGCACATTTCTATATTTATCGTTCTCTTCCTCGGAGTTCTTTGAACAAGAACTCCGAGTTCCTTACAGGCAGCAGTTTCTTGATTTTAAATGTTGGGGAACATTCTTGATCTTTGTTTACTGTGAAAGAAAGAGCTGGGAGCACATGATTCTGTCCCTGCGTCAGCCTGTGCTTCTCGGAGGCCACGATGTCCGCGGGATGCGGGGCTGGAACACACACGCTGCCGCCTGGGCGGGCGGAGCCCCCAGGAACCACCGCGGCCACCTGCACCTGCCCGAAATGATGAGGTCCTTTGCAACGAGGGCAACCACAGGTCCTCTACCGAAGTGGGAAATCTTTTTTTTTTCCTTTTGAATAGGTCAAATATTCCCCCTACAGCCCTCTTTCTGCTCAGCAGATCCTTTCTGCATGGACAATAGAGCGAAAATGTCACCCAAGTTTATGCCTAAATTAACATGGACTTAAGGAGGTCCCTGGGTAGCTCTCAATCTGCCACCAAAAAAGGTCTAAAAAAATACCATTGCAGCAACCGCTTACAGAGGTGAAAGACATTAAGTGGGGACTTTGAGGGAGTAGGAACCTTGAGGGGTGAAACCTGCTGTGTCTTCTGCACCTGTGTAGAAACAAAACCAGGCAGGCAGTGGGGTGGGGGTGGGGCTGGTGCTAAAAGCCCGAGGCTGGTGCTGGGAATACATGGCTGGGACCTTCAGCCCTACACTTCATTATGTGTGTGTCTGTGGACAAGCAAGTTCACCCCTAGGTGCCTCCGTTTCCCCACCTGCACAAAGGAGGTATCTGCCTCAGGGAAGCCAATGCAAACAGCCTGGGAGAGAGCAGAATCCTACCCTGTGCTCAGACAGAGCCTCCTAGTCCCCTGGGGATCTCGTTCACATGCAACTCTGACTCAGCAAGTCTGAAGCTACAGAGATTCTGTTTCTAGCACACTCCTGGCTACTCTGATGCTGCTGGTCCCGACCACACTCTGCGAGCCCGGCCAAGAGACGAGAAGCTCCACGGGGGCAGCCAGCTCAGTTATGTGCCAATGAGTCGGCAGGGGCACCTCAGGTTACCAGCCTGGCACTGTTGTCCCCTCCTCCCCTGGGTTAGCGGTTTGGGCAGCAGCATGCCGTCTCCATGTGGTGGCTCTAGTGACCCCAGAGCGATGTGTTTAACCATCGTGTCACCTTCTGTTTGTACTTTCTGCAGCTGGGCTGGGGGCGTGGTGAGGGGGAAAGGGGGAGGGGCTCAGGGTGCTGGCCTGGAGGAGTGGAAGGGATGGAAACAGGTTGCCATTCTGGATAGGGCTGGGGGCTTCGGGAAGCAGAGGGAGCATTTATCACCCTCCTGCCTCGGCCCTGCCCAGAGCTGGAACTCACTGAGCCATGCAGAGACACCCGCGAGGACAATAACGGTTCTACCTCTTGCTGCGCCTGTTGAGTTCGCAGAATGTGGCAGTTTCCAAACCAGAATTTCCCCAAGTCTTAGCATATTAAAAACAAACATTCCTGGACCTCATTGGAGACCAGTGGTTTGTCCCCAGTGGTCATGTGCTTGTCACAACTGCAGTGGACCACGAACAGGGTCCCGGACCCTGCTCCACATCCTACAGCACACCGGGCGCTAGAATCATCCAACCACAATGCTAACAGTGCTGAGTTTGAGAATCTGTGCCCCAGATATACTCAACATTGTACCCAGAAATCCGTGTTTAACAAATATTTCGGGGGATTCTGATGAAAAGGCAATATAAAGAAATGGATACAAGTATGGCCTTTGGAAACATATGTTGGACTATGTGACCTTGGACAAGGTTTTCGATCTTTCTATGCCTGTTTCCCTATTTCTAAAATGAAATAGTAATAATTTTAATTATCTATCCATCCATCTAATCTAATCTAATCTAATCTAATCTAATCTAATCTAATCTAATCAGGTTGTTGTGGGCTTAATGAGTCAAGACAGGCATGGAGTCATCAAAAAATGTTGGCTACTGTTGATGTTGTCATTAACATTATCAACAGCGAGGGCTGAACACTGGGGGGTGAGCCAGTGAGCAGGCCTGGCCCCGGGCGCCGCAGGGGCCGCTGGGAAGGCTCACCTGGAAGCGGTGGAAGTCCTGCGGCTTGAAGTCGTTGGGGGAGCAGCCGCACCAGTCCACGATGTGCTTGTACTGGCACTTGCAGCCCAGCTTGCGGTTCCAGTTGGTGACGCGCAGGTTGTTGTCCACCATGGTGGCACAGTGGGGGCTGTTCTCCAGGACCGTGTGGAAGAAGGACTGCAGGGGAGACAGGGACCAGCCTGAGTCCCCCAGCTTCCGTGAACGGGCGGGGTGTGGGTCCTTCCCTGGGACACCACTCTGAAGGGTCCCTCTGGGAGACTCATCTGTTCTCTCTGTACACGGGGTCAGTGCCAGTCTGGGCCTACTCAGGGTACACTGGATGTTCTGTCCAGAGTGGCTTAATTCTGCTCAGAATTAATGTCCTGAGTGTTCCTCTAATTATCTTTCCCCAACCGTCTAAAATCCGATTTCAAAATATCTCTTATCACCCAGGACATCTTCTGTCGGCTCAGCAGAGAAGAGAGGTCCCTTAGGATATGTCAACATATGGGGTCCAGAGGAAAACATGGGGACAATGACTCAGAAAACCTTGGGCCCTTTGGCTATTACTTTGCAAATAGCCAGTTAGAAACCAAAGGAATTCAACTCTGAATATCTTGAGAAGACTGGCTAATACTCTTGAATTTCACCCCTGGGTAAAGAGATCAGATTCATGGGTGCATCAGGCCCCAGGGCTGGAAGGTGTCCCAGGTGCCCTCTGAATGGTGTGACTACAACACAGGGGGGCGAAGGGCAGGCTGTTTGCTGTCCATGGTGCTGAACCGGGCACACTTGCTTCCCCCAATCCTGACTCCGTCCTGGCCCACCTCTCCTAAGAATCTGAGAAAGAGCCCGGGCCGGTTTGGCTCAGCAGTTGGAGCATAGGCCTGCAGACCAGAGAGTCCTGAGTTCGGTTCCCACTAGGGGCACGTACCAAAAAAAAAAAAAGAAGAAGAGTCTGAGAAAGAGGCAATGTTAAGAGTGAAAAGAGAGACTGAAGAGGAGAGACATGGTTAGAGATGCGAAGAGAAACAGGGAGAGAGAAAGGCTCTCTTTGGACACTGCTTTGACACAACCCCAGATACCAGGCAGATGCATTCTCCCTGCTCTCTGCTCCCGAGGGGAAGCTGTTGGGGAACATGTGTCTGCCTGTCATACATTTATGGCACAGCCTTCAGATTTCTTCTGAACCGGTTCAGAAGTGGTCTGGGAGAAGGAGGGCGAGGTGGAGATGCAGGATGGAGGAGGTGGATCTGGCAGGGACCTGGCGTGTCCTGTGCGTGTATGTGCTGGGGCAGGGGTGGGACAGAGAGGACCTGCACTGAGATGAGCACCACGATGAAAGGACCCGAAGCCCTGAACACTCTCTTCTCAATGGGTGGGCGGGCAAAATAAAGGGCCACCGACCACCCCCGCTGACCTTCCTGTGATGCTCAATGGCATGTCCATGAATCTGGATTTTAAGCTTGAATTGTCTACAAGCCCGCAGAGGCACATATTCTCCATGAAGCGGTGGGGAAAAGTACCCAATTACTGGCTGCCCTGTGTCCTTTCATAATGATACAGACATTCTCTTCAAGATAATGGATGAGGAGGTTATCAGTATTGAGAGAAAAGGTGATTTTCGCCGAAAAAGGATTAAAAGCTGATTACTTAACATGTGTGCAGAATAGCAAAACCTGGCCCAGTGACAAGCCCATCATCTTGCTGGAGTGACTTGGGCAGTCGGCCCTACAGAGCTTGTCACTGCCCCAGATGTTGGTGAGAAACATGGAAACCATCAAATGAGATGCGCTGTCTCGTGTGGTCTAGAAACACATCACCCGAGTGGTCCAGAGAGGGGGCACAGCCGGGAAGGAATGACGGACCATTCAATGGAGTGTTGTGGGCTCCGCAGAAACAGAACCAGCTCTGGAGTTTTCTGAAGTAGGAGACTAAAAGCTGGAGGTGAGGGAGCTTCACCTCGAATCTTTCCGCCCAGGCCTGGTCAAGAGGCCACTGGCATGTCACTGGCCGCAGTACAGACGGGGCCGGGCTATTTTAGAACAGTCTGCAGTCTTAATCAACAGGGCTTCTGAAATGACTGAACGTGTCTCCCCAAAATTCGAAGGGTGAAATCGTCACCCCCAATGTGATAACGTTAGGAAGTGGGACCTTCAGAAGCTGGGTCGGAGATGAGGGTGGAGCCCTCATGAGTGGGGATTCGTGCCCTTATAAGAGGGAGCCCAGAAAGATCCGAACCCCTCAGTCACGCGAGATGCAGTGCGCGCTGCTGGTAGGCAGCCTGCAACCCCGGAGAGGGCCCTCGCCAACCATGCTGGCACCCTGGCCTGGGACATGTAGCCCCCAGAGCTGTGAGAAGCACACTTCTGTTGTCCATAAGCCACCAAAAGGGCTTCTTGGTGTTGAGGACATTATTACAGGATTGTGACCGCGGAGCGGACGAGGGTGTGCCAGCACATACAGCTGTGCAAATCACACGCAGCAAGGTCCCCCTACCACTGTCGTTCTCCGTCTTCATCGGACTGTTTGGAGGGCTATGCTTTGGACTCAGCATCACTTTGCCGAAAATTCAGCATCCACTTTGCTCCAAGGTGAGAGCCAGCCCTGACCATTCTCAGGGACTGTTGTCCTGGACACTCACCTCTGCAGGAAGCAGGGTGTAGGAGTAGAATTGCTTCATTTTAGTCACCAGATCATCTGTGGAGAAGGTCACATACTCCACAAACTTCCGGTTCAGCAGGAACCAATCCGAGCCGCCATCCACGGCGATGCCCTCAGGGATCCGCCGGTCCCCCAGGCGCCACATGTGGGCGTCACACTCCAGGAAAAGCCGGTCCAGGCCCTGTTTCCGGATGAACCTAGAAGAAACAAAGAAGCTATTAGCCCGAAGGTGCCTCCACCCAGAGTCCAAATGAGACGGCACAATCCCGGCAATCAAAGCGTTTACTGAGCGCTGACTGTGTGCCAGGTGCTGAGCCAGGGGCTCTGGGTATCGTTTGCCACTTGGTCTTCACAAGGGAGGCCGGTCCCTCTGTCCCTGAGGCAGGTACTATTATTACCCTAATTTATAGATGTGGACACTGAAGCTTAGACAGTTTAGGGGACTTGCCAAGCACAATTAGATGGCGATGATCATCCGTACATGAACTTCCTCTTCAGAGAACTTTGAAATCATCTTTTCATGCCCTGGACAGCTTGGTAGCTTAGTGAACACAGCCTATGGATACTCATCACAGAATAATATTCTTAAATGGAAACACACAGGATTACAAATATTTTTTTTCTTTGTTGAGAGAGGGGAGGGTGAGACAGAAAGAAACATCAATGAGAGAGAACATCAATGAGAGAGAACATCAACTGGCTGCCTCCTGCATGCCCCGCACTGGGGATCAGGCCCACAACCTGGGCATGTGCCCTGCCTGGGAATCAAACTGGCGACCTCTTGGTGCACGGGTCGATGCTCAACCACTGAGCCACACCGGCTGGGCACAAAATATTTTTTTTAAAAATAGCAAAGTTACGATATAGTAATTCATGTGCTTTTTGATTCACATCTTACATATAGGATTATATAATATTTCATAAAACACCAAATTTATGATAAGTACGTGTGTTTCTTTCTTAACACATGAAATAAGATCTTGTGGCAGGTCTAATAACCACTGCAAACGTGGAGAAGTGGCGAGCATAAATGACATGTAGGGGTAGATGCACCAACTGTAATGTGATATGAAAATGTGCGATTGTTAACAGTTACTGCTCATACTACTGTGGTTTGTTCTCTGTGTTTAGCTAGATCTCAGTGAAAATAAAGACAATTTTTTTCCCATTCAAAGTCATGGGCCCTGCTGTTTTGTAAATGCAGAAATCAATGGCGGCACGGATCAGACTGACAGATCTCAGAGGGGTGGGGGGCGGGAAGAGATTAACCAAAGAATTTATATACATATATGCATAACCAGTGGACACAGACAATAGTGTGGTGGGGCAGGGGCTGAGGGGGGGGGAAGGGGGAAAATTGGGGGACATCTGTAATACTATCAACAATAAAAATAATTGATGGTCAAATAGATGGTAAAACAGGGGTGTGGGGAGACTGGACAGAGCAAGAATCCAGCCTTCTGGCCCAAATGCAGTGCATTTACAATGAGCATTAATTACACAGCTACTATGTGCCGGGAACTGTGATGGCCCTGGTGCAGGGTGAGGAGGAGTAACGATGATCCCTGCTCCTCAGGAACTGGTTACCCAGTTGGCAGCTTAGCCTAGAGGTCTCCTGACCCAGGGGTCCTGCCGCTCCTCTAGCTCCACATCCTAAAGTCAAGCATTTTGAAGTGTACACTTCAACAGGACTGAGTTCATTCACAATGTCATTCACCTCTATCTAGTTTCAAAATATTGCATCACTCCAAAGGAGACCCCATACCCATAAGCAGTCCCCGATCATTGCCCCGGCCCCTGGCAACCAATCTGCTTTCCGTCTCTATGGATCCTCCAATCCCGAGTATTTCATGTAGGTGGAATACTATATAGAATGCTGGCCTTTTTGTTGGGCTGCCTCCACCTACCGTAATGTTTTCAAGGTTCATCCACCTTGCAGCACAATCAGTGCTTCACCCCTTGTTTCTGTCTATCCAGCATTCACGCCTCGTTTTTCTGGGAACCACATCTCGACTTCACTTTGGACAGTCACTGATCTTCAACTCTCAGTCCACTTGGGTTTGCACCTTCCCCTAACACCAGACGATGACCATGACCCAGGCTGATCAACTGCATCTGCTTGGTCGCCATGAATCAGGTTCAGGGAGGGGTGAGAGACTCAGGCTGAGTTTGAGATGAGGGCCTGAATTTTTGCTGGATTTACCAGAAAGAAAGACTCTTCTGTGGGGTTTGCGGCTGAGAGAATGCAAGCCTAGAGCTGGTTGGCAGCCGTCTGATCACCATGAGTAGAGAGACTGACTGACAGTGGGGGGGTGACACAGGAAGGAGGAGGGCGAGCATTACATGGAAGCCCAGGGGAAGTTGACAACTTTTCTGAGGACACACAAAGGACAGAAGCCAACCAGAAGACCCAGGTATCCAACATCCCTAGGCTTGTTCTTTCTTCCTTTCTTTTTTGGTACATGCCTCTAGTGGGAACCGAACCCGGACTCTCTGGTCCACAGGCCAACGCTCCAACCGCTGAGCCAAACTGGCCAGGGCCAGTCTTGTTCTTTCCATAACCCATCTTCCCATGTGCAAAATCCAGGTTGGGTCTCACATGGATGAGGGGTCAGGGATCTCTTTGTGGGGCAAGACCTGGTGAAGATTTTTCATTATACTCACCATATCACACCCCAGACACAAAACTTGGCTTTAACCAATTCATTAAAAGGAGCCCTGAGTTTAGAAAAATTACCTCCTACCTCGACTCTGGCTTGTGCTTATTTATACAACAATGACCAGTCGGTGCATTTAACCATGCTTAACACTTTACATTGTAGATAACTTATATCAAAACTTAACGTGCGAACCAAGACTAACCCAGAAAGAGAAATAAAAGATATACAGGTGCGAGGATTTGCAAAATTTTTCTTTCCATGGACCAGCATTTTAATTTTATGTTCCATTATATGGGATAATAGCATCGTCTTGCAATTTTAATGTGATGTCCCAGACCATAATATCCAAATGCAATATTTATGCAGTAATCTCCAAAATGAAATATTCATGGGGTTGAGAGATTGGCTGCTGTATTTACCTCATTCCCAAACTGATAAGCTGCAAGCACACGCGTTGGTTAATTATGAGTAAAAATAGAGACTACTGATTCCCAAGGTCTCAGAAAACTTCCTGGGTTGAGAGGGACTACTGGGAACTGGGTCTGGACTGGGAAAAGGTGGCAGAGATCTAGGGTCAGGGTACCTAGCAGGTGAAAGGCATCAGCTGCTCAGGAAGTGATCTGCTGTTTGCCCTGCCCCGTGCAGTAACCATAACTTGGAAAGGTAAACACTGGAAATCAGGATAAGTCAGTAAACACCTGGGTGTGTCTCTTCATAGATGCGGCTCACCAGTAAAGGGAGCATGGCCCTCTTATCTGAGGGATGGAGAGGAGACTGAATTGCAGCAATGAGCCCGAGACACATAAGGTGACGAATGACACTCTCCTCCCTTCGGTTTCACTTCCCATTGACATGGTTACTTGGGCAACTGGGTCAATAGGTGGAACTACAGAAGGACAGACGCCGAAAGGATCTGGGTACCAGTCCTGCCTCTGCTTTCACAGGCGGGGATGTGAGGCGGGCGTAACCTCTCTGAATGTGTTTCCTCACCTACTGGATGCGCCCTGTCCCCCTGTCCTGACACCTCCTGGAAGCTGTGGAAGGTGCAATGGATGATGTTGACAAAGGTCCTGGCGCAGGGTTTGGTAAGCACAGTTCACACAAGCAATGGACTGACCCAACCATCAGTTCCTCCTTCCACAGCGATAACTTCCCTCCTCAATCCCTCACATCCCTGATCAGCCTTGAATTCATGCTTCATTTCTCTCCATAGCACTTTAAACTCTCAATGTCACATACAAGATATTTAGTTAGTTTATTGTCTATTTCTCCTTACTAGATGTAAGCCCCAAGGGGTCAGAGATTTTTGTCTATTTTTGTTCACTGCTGTATCCTTAATGTCTAGAACAGTGTGCAGCACAGAGCTGGCACTCAGTAAATATTTACCAAGTAAATGAATAAAGGGAAGAGGAACAGCCATGCCTGCCAGGCAGTCAGAAAGGCACAGTGGTTAGTGAACCAGGTATCCAATTCTTCCAACACACATTTGACGGATGAAGGAAATGAGTCACAGGAAGGTTAAGTCAGTTCCTCAAAGGGACACAGATAGCAGCCCTGGACTTGAATCCAGGTCTGGCGAATCCAGTGCAAGCTCTTAACTCTTCTGCCCTTCTTCCCCAGACCGGATTTGCCAGGTCCTTCCAACAGGATCCAAAGAAAAGATCTGAGGACTCCTCTTGCCTCAAAAAGACACTGTGCAGAAGGGACAAGACTGAGGGGCTAACTGCAGGTCTTGGAAGACTTCGCGACGACTGCTGTATTCAGAACAGGCCACCTACGGGCAAACCTGGAGTCATAAGCGTTCAGTCTTACCTCCTGGGATGCACCTTTCAGGGTTGGTGGTTGGCCTTCTTAGACTTCTCAACTGGCACAATATGGAACTAAGTCATAGCTAAATAGGATTTAATGCGATGTCACAGGGACTGTCTACTCGGCTGAGCATCAAGGAAACCAGATTGAAGGAACAGAGGGGTCCTGATTCTCGCCCCCGGGAGAAGAGTTCAGTTAAGAAGCATCTGTAGCCTTTGCAAATAATCTTAGAAAAGGCAGACAATGAAGAAGTCCCTCCATTCAGTTAATTCCCTCGCTACGATCTCAGCATAGTCATTGAGTATGAAATTATTCCAGAGCTGTCTTGTCTTATAATGAGTTCTAAAAGGAAGAACTCTGCCCCTCCGATTTTACAGCGTGTTTGAGCACGAAGTAATCTTAACAATCAGCTAATATAACTAATTCCATAGATTAAAAAAACACACACACACACTGAGACCCAGAGGGCTAGATGATCCAAAGTCATCCAAAGTCACAGAGCCTAGGAAAAAGAACCTCCACTTCTTCTCTTTTCCTATCCAGTGATCTGTCACTGAACCCAGATTACTCCTTTAGCATAAGTACAACCTAAGCATTTTAGTTAAAAAATAAAGTCATGGAACAAAGCATGAAAACTGCACTGTATGAAGTCAGCCAGCTCTGTGAACAGGCCCACTCGTGACAGCCACCTGATGCAGGGGCCAACCCCTGGGCTCTGCAGCCAGACT